ATTGATTTGATCTTTCTCGAGCCACCAAAATCAAAGTAACATTATTGAAGTAGCACCCCCTTATAAACCCATGTAATGATCGATCTTGCAATTTCAATATAGGGTTGAACATTACTCTGACACACTTCAAAATGCGCTGCAAAATCCAAATTGATATTTGTTTCAGCAAATACTAAAAAAAAATTAAATATACTTCTCTCAAAATTGCAGCAAAAACAACAGAGGACTAAACCAACTTAATCGATCCTAAAATTTAGGATCATTATAAGTTGGAGGATAATCTTTGTAATTAGAGATATCACCAAACAAAAATCGTGATACTCACATATAAAATGAAATCAATCCACGAGATTGAAGTCATTCTCGTTCTCATATCACTTTTCAATTCATGAACTTGAATCCATCATTTATAATAATTTTATTTAACTGTTAATGATATTGGGGTAAAATACCTTGGGTGCTACATAAGTTTGCGAATTGGGGTAGACATACCATTTAAGTTTGAATAGGGCGTCGGGTACCACTAAATTCTTTATATGTGCACCCGACACTACTTAAGTTTACTACTAAGTGCATTCCGTTAAAGTTGACATAATATTTTAAGAATATTCCGTTTTCTTAATTTCATAATTGGTCCATCTACTTTTCTTGTTGTAAAAAAATTATTTGGACTTATGAAAAACATCATTTTTTTTATTGTTTAGTTAGAATCCTCTTTTGAATACTTGATACAAAATCAATTTTTGAACAAAAAATTTAGAATCAATTATAATTATAATTATTTTCAATTATTATTATTATGTGTTCTAATAATTGAATTATCACATGAATGTTGTAACTAAATAATATTGTAGCTTTTATAGTCATATTTTCTTTTCTATATTTTTTACTGAATGTAGTAGTTTCATATTTTATTTATTATTTGGTTACTTTCCATCTCTTTTCGTTCTATTTTTTCAATTAATGGGATATGTTTAATTCTTTCTGATTATGTTCCATTTATCCTTCTTTGATTTTGATATATTAATGATCGATTAGGTTCTATTTTAAGTATTTCTAATGGTGCTTCTAATTGAATTATGGGGTTTAAATAGATATTCTAATATTAATTTTAAATATTTATTATTATATTCTAGTATATGTATTATTCTCTTGATATTCATTTATTATTTTTACTAATTATCTATTTTATTAACAAATTTTGATTAGTCATTCTGGTAATAATATGTTTAAAAGGTTTTCTAATTATTATATTAGATAAAACTTGTTGAAATATAGTTTTTGATGTTTATCAAAGTTTTGTGTATCAAAAAGTAATTAAAAGTTTGGGTTAGATGGAAAAATAGACGGATGCACATTTTGGCGACATTAATGGTACCCGGCGCCCGGAATGCGTTAGGGTAGTAACTAAAATTCTAGTAGCCACCGTGGCTGCATCATTATCTGCCGTCCATTATTTTTTTTTTCATTTTTTTAATCTCATGGTTAAGATTACGTTAGGGTAATTTTGAAAACGAAAAAGCGTCCACACCCGATTATTCTATATATTCTACACAACCCTACTTCTACACTCCCCTCCCTCCAACCAAACCCTACTTCAGACGACTGCCGGCTGCCCGCCCTCCATCCCTCTCCCCTTCGGCCACCTCCCTTCACTGACCATCCCTCCCGATCCCCTCTCTCTCTCTTCCCATCTGTTCTTCCTCCGCAGTAGAACTTCCCCACTAATATATACCTAAAATATAATCCCCTTCTCTCTCTCTCTCCCTCTCTCTCTCCTTCTGTTCTTCTTCAGCAAAAATGACGAATGGGACAAAGAGTTTTTTTTTTGGGAATTCGACTGAAAGAACAGAACAACTAATTTTTTATTGGTATGTACTTTCTCGCATTGGTAGTGTTTTTCCTCGTAATGGTAGTATTTTTTCGTATTGGTATTGTTTTTTCCGCATTGGTATTGATTATCATGTAAGGTTATCTCTGTTTTGTGAAATGGTAGTGATTTTTTCGTAGTGATAGTGCTTATTCACATTGATATTGTTTTTTTTTCGTATTGGTATTGATTTGAATGTATTGCTCTATGGTCAAATCTGCAATGGTATTGGTGTTTTGTGAAATGATAGTGATTTTATTTCTCGAATGGTATTTGTATTTTGTGCAATGGTACCATTTTTTAATGGATTGGTATTAATTTATTGTTTTATTGTAGTGGTATTATTTTGGGTAAATACAATTTAATATCCAAATCTTTCATTTTAAACAATATAATAGCCAAACCTTTTCGAAAACAATTTAATATCCAAATCGTCAACTTTCCGTTCGTTTGACCGTTAGTTGACACTTCAAAAAAGCTTTGTTTAGGGGAAATTGTCACAATACAACTTTGTTTCTTGTTTTGGCATTGCAGATGACTGAATATTTAGATATTCTATACCATCATGGTGGAGTCATGGACTTCTCGGGTTTGGAACTACGATATGTTGGTGGTTTTTCAGAGAAGACATCGATGGATATTGATGAAGTGTCGTACTTCGAACTTTTTTGAAGTGTCAACTAACGGGCAAACAGACATAAAGTTGACGATTTGGATATGAAATTGTTTTCGAAAAGGTTTGGCTATTATATTATTTAAAATAAAAGGTTTGGATATTAAAAGGTTTGGCTATTATATTATTTTTGGTATTGATGTTATTGTATTGATAGTGATATTCATGTATTGTTATTAGTTAAATCTGCAATGATATTGGTTAATCAGAGTTATCATGTTGTGGTAGTGGTAATTTTTTTTTTATGTTTTGGTATTGATTTTTTGTTTTTATCTATAATGATATAAGTGTTTTTCGAATGGTAGTGATTGCCTAATGGATGGAAGTGAGAGAAAGAGAGATAATTGTAGTTAATAGATTTTTGCAAGGTTGTCAAACCGGTTTATACCGTTGTGCCGGTTTGACAAGTGAAATGGTACGACCGGTGGTATAACCATTTTGTGCCGGTTCATGCGGTTTAAAAAAATGTGAAAACAATTAATATCCAATGTATTTAATCATATATAAAACATATTTGTGGACAATTTAGTTACAATCCAACAAATATTATCAACTTTTAACTATTAAATTCATAAAATGAATAAAAAAATTAAATTTTTTATTCATTAAATTCATTAAAATGATGTCATTTTACTTAGAATACGTAAGTCGATCATATCGATCATACCGGCGGTGTCATGTCGGTTTCATGACCGGCACATGTTGAACCAGGTTGAACCGGGTGGCATGCCACCGGCATGACAACCATGGATTTTTGCAACGGTCAAAAATATAATTTATTACTACTTTTGTAGTAATCACCATAACTCTTTTCCCGACACCCTATTCTAACTTAAGTATGACTACCCCAATTCTCAAACATAAGTGATTTTTACCCAGAAATTGGAAAGTAATGCAACTAATCTAATTAATGAAGTTACATCCGTTTTTGGGAATAATTTTCAAGCATAAAACTCCCCCACTCCCACTCTCTGTCGTACTACAAGCACTCAACCACAACTACAGTCTACAGTCCAGTCCCTCTCTCTCTCTCTCTCTCTCTCTCTCTCTCTCTCTCTGGATCTCCGACGAAAATCTAGGGAAATATTCTCAACAGATCGTTAGATTCGAGCCTGCGGTTCCTGCAACCCTCAGCTCATCGGGAAAAATCCTTCGTATCGTACGTTTCCCCGTTTCCAGATAGATCGTTGATTGCTTTATCAACTCTCCGCTATCCGTTTTCAGTTACGCTTTCGATTAAACTTATTTTCTTGCATAACTATGATCGCCTTTTTGCTTCTTGCTTTGGTTTCGGCGATTCATCACTGCGAGAGCTTCTTTTGATCGTTAATCGCTTTCTGCTTGCTTTTTTCTTTCTTTGGCTGATTATGGCTAGATTGTCTGTCTGGTTGGTGGCTGTGGTTTAGGTATAAGAAGCAGCATGCCGTGGACATCTTCTTTTGTGAATTACAGCAGGAACTGCGTTCGCTTGGTGGTCTTTTTCCGGGTGATTCTGTAATTTTGCGTGTTCGGCTTTGCTAGTAAGTTCCCTCGTAATACTCCTTTGGATATGCAGGTTTTCACTTATGTTTTTGCCTATATTATAGTGTTTGTTTATTTTGGAGTAATGGATGCTCCAGTGTGATTTGGTGGGCTTGATTATGAGATTGGGTGTTTGCTTCCTTGCTATCTTCATGATGTTTTATATAACTTGTTCTGTTGTTAATCAATCATCACTTTTCGCTTGCTGCTGCAGGTAGTTTTGGTTGATTTCAAGCGCGCCTAGAATACATAAGTGGGTTCTAGAGTGATAATGTACTTGGGGGTTAAACAACTTCGTGCAGTGAAGCAGGCTGGGAAGACTAAGATGAGTGCTAGGGTTGCTGGATATTACCAAGTGATGCAAATATGTCAGGTACAACCATAGTGCTCCATTGGATCAAAGTTTGGCTCTTTGCTCTGTTATTCACTTGGCGTATGCTTCGTACTAATTTTGGCCTGTAAACTGATGAAAGTATAAAAACTTCTTATTCTTTTGGTGGTTATATTGATCTCTTGAGAGGTAGATTGCTGCTAGCTTATTTATGCCTTGTTATTCTCCCAAACCATTACCCATGATGCCTCTACTTTTGCTCTATTCCTATGGTGATGCAGGCTGAATATTTCCGTCAGTTGTTGAAACCTGTGACGTAGTATAGAAGAGCAGAGACTCCGGTGTTAAATTTGGATTTTAGGGACAAGTCTCCTTCTGGTAGTGTTCATATATAAAAGGGCGGGGTTGGAGATAATAGGAGTTCGATGATGGTGGTTTTCATCTGCAGTAGACAGCTGTCCTAAAGCCAAAGAGGTTGATAGCTTGATTAACTATTTTCGTCCATTTCGTCAGTTCAGTAGTGTTCATCACTTGCAAATTCAAATAATTGCCTGCCTATAGAGCATACAAACGATCCATTCTTGCTGCTCAAGAAAGGGTTTCTGATGCATAGAGACCATAGATTCAACCCTAAGGCAGTGCCTCCATTTGCTAATCAAGGGGGTGACAACTACATGCATCTCCCAGTTTCGTCTTCCTTTCCTGGGAACTTAGTTCCAGCTGCAGATGACTTGTTGCCTATCTACGGTGTTCAATTTCAGCCATCTGAGGTCTGCCCAAGGAATTTCGTGATTGTTGATCAAACTGATCATCACAGTCAAATAATGTTCAACCCTGCAATTGGCTACAAATTCTCTGCTCCCAACTTCAATGCCCCTTCAAGTTTCATCCACGAGAGCTTTATGGGGAAAGAAGATGCCCTTGATATTAAGAAGGAGTTGTCATCCTGGAAGGAAGATTCTCATGATATTGATGCGCTGTTAAGCTTGGATGAGGAGGACGATGGTGATGATGAAAGCGATGAAGATGAGGTCAGCACTGCGAGGACGTATGGGAGCAGCTCCCCTGGTTCGTGTAGCAACTACGACCATCACTACAACTCCAGGAGCAATGTTTGTTCATCCGTTCAAAAGTCTTTTGGTGGGGGCAGCAGCAGCAACAGCAGCGAGAAGAAACAGTTAAAGATGAAGAGGATGGTGAAGGCACTGAAGGGAATCGTTCCTGGTGGGGAGCAAATGAATACCGTCACCATTATTGACGAAGCAGTCAAGTACCTCAAAACCCTCAAGGTTGAAGCCCAGAAGCTTGGAGTGGGGAAATTGAAAGACTACTACGAATAACGTAGCCCTCTCGATTGAACTCTATTTCATCAATACAGGTAATGTCGTATAATCAGTCAGTCACTCCTCTTCCCTTCCTTTAGGCAGGTGTGGCATGAGCAGCAGAATAATGACAGCACTCTTGCCTTGGGGCTTTTGTGTTGGTTTGCAGCACTCCGCTTTTATAAACGTGTAGTTTGGTATCGTTAAGTGATGATGATCCCGATGGTCAGTCTCTGAGATGATTTCTGTAAACTATGTTTTATGTACTCCCATATTGATCACGAAGACTGTGGATGGCCATCCACAGGGAACTTCTCTATTCAGCTTTGTCCATCTCTCTTAAGTTTGTTACAGACTCGATTGTATTGTATTAACTTCTAAACTCACTATTATATAATGTTTAGTATTTGACTGTTTATTTTCAATCTTTATGGTTACCGGCTTCACTTTGGTCCTGGACTCTGATTTCTCCTTCTAGTTAACATATAATGCTCGTCTTCTCCACATCACCCTCAGAATCTCGGCATGTATACAGTAAATTGTTGTTCCCCGCATCATGTGGTTGGGAGGTTTTGAGACATGGGGATCACAAATGTGCAGTTGCTAAATGGGTCTCCCCTTTTAAATTGAGGGTTACTATTTGCCGCCCGGGCAATTACTATTTGCCGCCCGTAAAAAATACTAAAAGGACAATTTTTGGGCGGCAAATAGTAAATCGACGGGCGGCAAATAGCGATTCATTTTAAATTTGTCCTTGGAGTGCCTACTATCCCTCTATATAGAAAAGCTGTGTGGTGGTGTTAGTGGAGCACCAGAATGATGCATATGTACACACAGTATCTTTTGTCTATGTGTTGGGCTAAAAGCACTCTTTTATGAAGTGGCTTAAGTGGGTTGTCCATCACTTTAATGTTGGCTTTCTCAAATCCGTGTCACTTTCTTTCCCTGGTCTTCTTGTGTACTTTTTCAAGTAAAATGCTGCAATCCCATCCTTGTTTGTCTTTCCTTATGTGGTGGAATGAGATTAGGACATGGGGAGGGAGATCACTCACTGTCATGCATGCATGGATTTTGGCTCTTTTCTCTTCCTCTCTGCATTTTCTGAAGTGCAGTGAAAGGGCCCAATGGCCGGTGGTGCAAGTGGCGCACCACTTTTTTTGCCAATTGTGCATTTCTCAGCACCACCACCCCTTTTTTGGGTCCCTATTGGAGGCTGAAACTTGGTCACGTTGGGGATGTCCACTGTCATGAAGTTGATTCAGTAGGTGCGCTCTGGTTTTGGTGCTTTATAGTAGTGACCCAACTTGGGGTTTCCACTTTTTTTTTCCGTTAGTGTTGGATGGGTCAATCAGGTCGTTTACAATTTCTTTTGCAGGTTTGTTGGGTCAATTTGGTGGTTTCTTTAATTGTGCAGACAAAAAAGTTTGGTTCTATGATAGGCTGTAGTTACCCCATACACACTGGTATTGGACTCTTGGCTGGAAGGTTCTGCACGTCTGCTGTGGGCAATAGTTCTTGTTGCTTCTCTGAGGTCAGCTCTTCAATTCCTCCTCATTAGGTATTTCAGCAATTGGCACTGGTCAAAGTACTATTTTTCATCACTATGACTTTGTGACGATGTGAATGGATTGATGGTTTGATATTTTTTTTGGTTTCGAATCGGATTAAATCAGTGTTTATAAGTACGAATATGCTGAAAAACTTAACTAGCGCATTCGATTGATCGATCAAAGAGGGGCTTAAGTGAAAGGACTTCTGCACGAACCCAGAATGCTGCTATTGAGGGAGCCTATATTGCTGTTACACTACTACCTTGATTCTCGACAGTAAAAAACCAGAGCTTTAAGTGACGGGGTTCTCTGCAGGAAGATATCATCTAATGATTCATTTGCTTGGACCAGGAAAGAACCGATCCGCCGGAACACAACTTCCTAACTATGCTCTAAACTAAATTCAAAATCCGACTCTGCTTCCTGGCTACTAAAAACCCTCCTCCTCAGTGAAACGCCACCTGAGCAGGGAACGTAACGCCACCGCTGTCTCCGACAACGATGGTGTGTGTCCCCGACGGCAGAACTTTGTAAGCAGCCTCATCGACGATCCCCAAGCCGTCGCAGCCATTCACCGCAAACTTCACCTTCTTGCTCCGTCCAGCTCTCACAAACACCCTCCGGAACCCAATCACCTGCTTCGAATGGGCTCCCGCTATCCCTTCCGGCGGTCTCGAGTAAACCAAGACGGCTTCGCTCCCGTCTCTGTCCCCGACGTTCTTCACTGCAACCTCGAACTTCAGCTTCTCTTTGCACTCCAGATTCTTCACCAGGGCTCCCGGGCACCGCGGCTTCTGCGATCGGCCGTCGGCATAGGTCACATCGTGGCACCCTGCTGCAGCGACTCTGTTTTTCTTCATCTTCATGTCGATGATGGAGTTTTTGGGCTTCGTCAGGTTGTAGAGGAAGCTCGTGTAGCTGAGGCCGAATCCGAATGGGTAAACGGAAGGCCCATCGTAGAATTTGTAAGTCCGGCCGGGGAACCGGCCGGTCGGTCTCAGTGGCATCGACGTCATCGGCAACTTTTCGACGTAGTTTGCTGGATACCAAGTCAACGGCAATCTCCCTCCTGCAAAATTAGAGGTAACAAATTGAGCCGTTAGCTGTAGAATCAGAATGCGCTGCTTGCTTGATTTGATGGATCTGTAGTTCTGTACATTACCGGGATTGTACCGGCCGAAGATGACGTCAGCAATGGCAGTCCCGCCGCCTTCCCCTGGATACCCAGCCCACAAGATGGCTTTGATATTGGGATCGTTCTTGGCGAACGAGACATCCACGCCGCCGGCGCACATTATCACGAGAATCACCGGCCCTTTGGAGACTCTGGCGATTTGTGAAATGAGCTCTGTTTGGTACCCGGGAAGCAGGAGATCGTTCCTGTCCAGCCCTTCCGTCTCGACGGAGACGTCGATTCCGGCGACGATCACCGTCGCGTCGGTCGCTCTGGCTGTCTTCCTTGCGTGGGCGATCATGGTCTTGTCCGGGCATCGGACGCCGGCGCATCCAGGGGAGTATCTGACTTTGGCGTACGAGGAGAGCCCCGAAACAGGGGAGACGTAGCGGCAGGGGAATCCCGGCCGGTTGGGGTCGAACGCGTAGTTGCCGATCATGGCGAGCGTGGCGTTCGCGTGCGGGCCCACGACGGCGAGGGTCTTCGTCTTGCCGGCGGCGAGAGGCAGAGTGTGTTGGTCGTTTCGGAGGAGGACGATGCCCTGCCTCGCCGCTTCGGCGGCGAGTTGGGTGTTTTCCGGCGTGCAGATGTGCTGTTTGCCCAAGTGGCGGTATTCCGGCGAGCCGTCGAAATAGCCGAGGCGCATGAGGACGACGTAGAGGGATTTGAGGGAGGCGTCGATGAGGTTGGCGCCGACTTTGCCTTGATGCACTGCTTGGCCAACGTATTTGGGGAAGTAGTTCCCACAGTCCAAATTCAGGCCTGTGAAACGAGAGGTTGAAATTTTTTAGTTGATTTCTGGGTGAAGTGAAATTGCAGAAACTGAAGTAGAAAAATGCAGTGAAAAAGAGTCGATCAAGTAAACCTGCTTTCAGTGTTTGTGCTATTGCATCTTCTGGAGTATCATTTAAGTATTTATGATGCTCAACGATGTTCTTGACTGCGTCACAATCCGATACTATATACCTGGGAAAACATAACAAAATATACGAATGTTAATCATCGACTTAACGCTTCGTTGACAAATCACAAATCTTTTGTACATAGATAGATACCCATTGAGTTTCCACCGGCCTCTGATTGTCTCGTTCAGAAGTTTAGGATCGGCACAAGTGGGAATTCCGTTCACCCGATTATACGAGCACATTACACTGCTCACGTCCCCTTCTTTCACGCACATCTCGAATGGTCGAACAAATGTTTCCACCATATCCTGCTCTCTCACCTTCACAAACATAATTTGTATAGATCTTTTTAACGCTGTCATATGATTAGTTGCCAACTATGTCATAATAACCTAAAAACTAAAAACTTTAAAACGCGATTTCGAACTACAAGAATTGTACATTTCTTTCACAAACGTACCCTGGCATCAAAACGGTAACGACTTTTTCCATGCCAGTGATCCATATCATAAGCCGCGTAGTGCTTGCAGCAAGCCGCCACTTTCAAAGGCCTGGAATCCGAACCTTTCCCGGATTTCTCCACCTCCCCACATTCACTGATCACATCCTGCAACCCTCGCACGTACGTGGCCGCATAAGTGCCGACGACGAATGGATCCTCGCCAGGTGTCTCCATTGTTCGGCCCCACCTCGGATCCCGGGCCACGTTCATCGTCGGGCTCCAGAACGTCAGCCCGGCCCGGCCCAAATTGTACATGGCCCTCGCCTCCGTCGACACGGCCTGTCCCAACCCCAAGATCCACAAAATTGTTATTATTATCCAATATCCAGTTAAATCAAGAAAATAAAACAAAAAAACATTATTTTATGAATTTACCTGACCAATGGCTTTCCAGAGCGTTGCGTTAAACGACGCCGCGGTGACGATGACGGTGGGGAAGCTCGTGGCGCTGGGGACCACGCCGTCGAAAAACACCCCCGGGCCCACATTGGAGACGCCGTGGAGCGCCTCCGACCACCACTCGTACGGCGGGAGGCCCAGGCGCGTCACGCCACGCGCATTGTCGCCGAGCTGCTGCGTCTTCTCCTCCAGCGTCATCCGCGCGATCAGATCCTCCGCCCTCACGTCGTACGGCAGCGAGCGGTCGCAGAACGCCAGGCCGGCGGCCTTGTCGGAGCCGCAGACGTGGGAGAAGCGTTTCGCCGGCGCGTGAGGCAGATTCTCGAGACCACGTCGAGCGACATTGGTGGTAGTGTGGCTGCGATGATCGGTGGTGGAGAGGAGGAGGAGGAGGAAGACGGTGAACGCCGCGGCGACGGAGATGCAGAGTATTATGATGGACGATTGAGCCATTACGTGAAATGTAATTAGCGACTACTGTGGCGGTGCTTACTAATTGGTAATTAAGGTGGCTGTGTTTGAGAGTGAGTTAGTTGGGGGGTAGATGGATTGATTAATTATGTTAAGCATCTAATTAGTGAGGTGATAGTGATTAGAGGAGAGATATTTCTTTTTCTTTTTTTTTTTCCATTTTGTTTTGGGTAGAGAATGAGTCGGAGAATTTGGAGGAGAGCTGAGTTTAGGGCAAGAGTTGTTGTAATTAACTCGGTTTAGAAAGTGAGTACAGCTGTCTGTGTTGTCTCCATGCATGGAATTAGAAGAAGTCGGGAACCGGCCCTCTATCCCTCCTCGCTTTCAGGATCAGGAGAACAATCACAGTAGTGTTGGTAAATTAACTTGGTTACTTCAAATCAATCATTTAGCTTCGTATAATTTCATATCGTGCCGAGTACCGATTTAATAAACAAATTTTAGTAGCAAACGAGTTAAACAAAACGATAATAACAAACATGTTATTTAGCCATTAAGCTTTGAATAGGGTCTTTGCTTCTTCTAGTTTCAAACTCATTGTCGTTTAGCCAACAAGCTTTGTTGAGGATTGCACTGTTCTATCGCTCGTTGTTGAAATGCTTACACATTTGCATTTCAACAACCATATTTGGTGGCTAGGAAAGCCCTCTCTTTGTACCCGACTATGATTCGTTCTTTTGATTTCTGTACCTGGCTTGGATCCAGGGTGTAACTATCTTTTTTTGGATCAATATATGATTATCTTTTGTCAAAAAAAAAAAAAAAAGGTTACGAGTTTTTGTACTCAGAGGTAGGGATGGCCACAAAACCCGAATCCATGGGTATCCACCAGACTCAACCCGGTCAACGCGTGTAAAATCCGTGTTGACGGGTTTTGGGCCGGGTTTGAGTTTAATCCTGTTCACTATTCAACGGGTTGGGTTGAGTTTGAGTTTAGGTAAACCCGACCCATGGGTACCCGGCTACCCGCCCACACTCATATAATTAATTTTCTCGGTATATTTAATATTCTAAACAACTAATCTTATTTATGTTTGTGGAGACATGTCTAATTTTTTCTTTCTAATTGTGTAGAATGAAGTTGATGTTATCAGGTGGAGAGTGAAGAAACTTAATTGAAAGTAAGAAGCTTTCAATCAATCATGTTATTTATGGATAATTTGTGATTTGCTTCAATTTTCTTGAGTTTTCTAGATTGGTGTTGAACAATTTGTATATTAATTTGTGATTTGCTTGAATTTTCTAGAATGGTGTTTTAAATATGGATAATTTGTATTGAGAGATTGATATTTGACTTTAATTTTGATAGGAACTTGTTATTGTGAATTTTTTAAGACAAACCCGTGGGTACCCATGAACCCGGGGATACCCAGCGGGTTGGGTTGGGTTTGAGTTTTTCAAACCCAATGGGTTTTACCCCAGGTTTTTTTCACGGATAAACCCATGAGTTTGGGTTTGAGTCTGGCAAAACCCGACCCAACCCGACCCATTGCCAATTGATTCATTAGAATTCCTCATCCAAAATATAAACATTTGTTTTGTTAAAATGCACGAGAACAAGAAGATATTGCTCATTGTGGAAATAGAGTCGTCATGAATGGAGATCAAGGCATTATTATTTGTGTGGATAATAAATTGACAATGCTAATGCGAAGCAATCGCAAGTAAAAAAAAATATGTGCATTAGTTTCTAATCGACGTGTGATTTGAACAAGTTTCTAAGAGCTGATTCCTATGCATGATTTTTTTTTACATTAGTTAGATGAATCGTTTAGCTTGTCACAAAAATATATGATCCACGTTCTTTTTTTTTTTAATATTTTTCCAGTAATAAATAATTGAAGTATTCTATGATAGTAAATAAAAATGTAAATTTCTCGAATAATTACTATTATTGTTTATCAAATATAATGTATCCGGCCAACGACCGGGTCTAAATCTAGTCTTTCGTCAAACAAAAGAAAAAACGAGATAAGAAACAAACGATTTTCCGTTTCCTGATTGACTTCCTAATCATAGTAACAAAAGAAAAGAAACAGCAACTGAGCTTGCCATTGGATACTGTATCCACCACAACACAAGTCTCCTGCAGGCTGCAGAGCTAGAAATAAAGGGCTAACTCAACTCTTGAGAACAAAATTCTCATAACATACTGAGCAGAAGCAAAGAATTAACACCAGATTCAGTTACACCATCATCTCTCTAAGTTTTTTTTGCTTCAAAAGAATCATAACAAGCATCCTGTAAGCATTATAGAAAATGCTAGCAGCTGAATGTCAGGTTAAGCTAGGTTGGATCATCCAGGATAATGAGACTATGAGGGAAGGAAGGAGGGAGAAACAAGAAAGAGGTGAAAAATAAATGTTAAAGCCTTCTGTTATTTACATACAGAAGTCAGAAGCAATGGTAGGCCGGCAAAACCTTAGGGTTAATCTTCCCCTCATCTCCTTTCTTTCCCCTTCTTCGGTTGTCATCATCAATGGAACTTCACCGTTCAAACTTTCATAGAACAATTCACCAGTTCCGGTCACCAAGACAGTTCAGGTTAGTCCTTCCCCCCTCCGACTATATTGGACTGGCTCTTGATACCTGCACTCGAAAACCAACAGTTATCCCATCCGTCTGCCCTGGTTTAACAGTTCTCATCTCAAGTAACCATATCCTTCCTATTTGTATCAGGCAAATTTTGGCGTGGAAGAACACAGGTTAAGACAAGAACTAAATACATTCTTCTTGGAAGGCAAACCAAACACCAAGCAGTACATGCACGGGCAGAAGTTGATTTATCCATCTTTTCTGGCTGTGATAAAGGGTCGTTCGATTCAGTCCAAGAATTTGTGATCTGATGAGGAGGACGAACTTTTTGATCCAGACAATCTCTGTCTTGCTTCAGGAGAAAGTATTGCTTGCTTTTCACCCCGCTGGCAAATCAATCAACATTTCGGTATCATGCATCATCCATGGGCTTTACTTTCACTAGCACAGGGTTTGGAAGAAGGAAAAGAAATTGACAGCTCAAGCAAATTAGTCAGACTTTGTCTAACAAAAATAAAGCGTCACCCTCAAGCACACACAATAGTTGTTGTTGTCGTGAATATATATAACCCTAAGGGCCACAGCTACCACATGTATAAACAACTTGTAGGCATGCTAGTTAAGTGCATACAGAGAATGCAAACCTGGTTCTGCAAGCTTGCTGAGGTAGTCCATCGCTGAGGATTGTGCGTCACTCCGGCACTATCACTAACAAAAGTAATTGTCATTGATTCTTCAGGTACGTTAGACACTAAAGGTGGTGGTAGTTCTCTCATTATCCACAGCAGAAATGCTGAGGGTACAGAAGAACCTGTGAAATAACCATAATTACCCAAGAATACTAAGTCAATTCATTTCAGAGATTCGCCATTTCAGAAATAATTATCAATCAAATCAACCATTGCCATATATAAGATCAATGCCAAATGATTGAGGGACAAAAAAATACCTATGAAATAGTATAGAATCAATAAAACAGAAGTAAGAAGACCATTTCCGTCAAGTTGCTGCCAGTTGTAACGAACCTGCCATAAACATACATTGTAAGGCTAGAGAAAAATGAGATTCCCTGACCCTAAGTTCAATAATGCAACTCAAAGCTTGAGGAAGAAGGAATTCATACTGGAATATTAGCCAAAAAAGCAACAAGAGCACTGGTGGTGAAACATATAACAGCTACAACTGCCAAGCCTGCTACCTGCACACACATGGAACAATATATCATGTGGGAGCAACATAATATCAAGTTATAATTGAGAAAACCATGGTGGCAGGACATATGTCCTCGTCACATGCTGATAGGGTGAACAGAACTGCTTCACCATGCAAACTTTGGTAGGTGAAAAAGCTACAAATGAGGATACCTTCCATATGTCCGAGGCAGCTCTCTCTGATCTCACTCGCCTCATTTTCAGGTACAGTATAAGGCCTGTACATAACACAGATGAGAAAGCAAGTTTTGCAGACCAAGGGCAACAAGAGTAGGCAAAACCTTTAGCCACCACCATATCCCCAAAAATGTAACCACAAAACAATAACCATTTCATAAGTCTGGCACAAGCCTACCGGCTTCCTTTACCATGCTTCAACCGTCGAAACTATCTTGTATGGAAACTTCCCAGCGACCAGAATATCTATTAAGTTATACTCGTGTCATCGTTAAGGATACTAAATAACTACAGTGAGTTCACAAATTACCCAGACCCATAAAGTTCACTTGTGAGAGTGAAATCAAACAACAATAACTTTAGGTAAGTGTTCTTTTGAAGCTTCCTAGTTTCTACCATGTCATCACTTGTGTTGTGTATGAATAGTGAAACTGTGAAAGTATGAAGACCCCCTACCAGCACCCGTTCTCTGGAATTCACTCATAACTTCACATAACCTCAAAACTATTGCACTTGCATTCCAAATAAGGTTTCCTTTTCTAAGACCAGCAAATGTGTTGTAGAAAATAGGACATACAATGACGTCCAGGAGGTTCCATGGCATGTCGAGTAATGTGTGATAAAATAAAAGCAGACCTCCAGAAAATCTAACTTAATCAGCGATGTGTTTTAAGCTCAAACCAGAAACTATTAAAGCAAAGCAGGTCAAATGATATCATCCCATGACAGAACCACAAAGTAATTGAACAATAAAGCTCAAAAAACAAAGCAAAGGGATAGTCACTTACCGTAACAAGCCAACGCTCCACCTAGCAATAGCATTACCACGTCAGCTATATCTTCATAGACCTACAAGAGATAAAAATAATCCACACAATTCAACTATTTCATCAACATACATATAAAAGATAAAGTTAAAGTCGTATAAGTGAAACCACATAAAGTCGTATTGCAGTTCACTCATACGTCCCCTAAATTCAACCACTTTCACCATCAACTAATATAGTTGCTATATAGGCAATCATGCTTAATCTAAGCTTTGCACCGTTCATCAAAAGAACCACTCTTGGGGGAGCCTACAGACAGAATGGATACTATATAAGATCAATGTTCAATTTCTCCAGAAGTAGTCTCAATCCAGGTATTAAATAAAGATTTGAACAGCATCCCAAAGTGCTTTATCTAGACAAACTAATAGGGATAAATGGAAGAAGCAGAAAGGAAATCCAATAAAAAAAGCAGTGCGAAAAGTAAAAAAATTCAAAGGGTCATACCATGGCCAATAATGATGAATGAGTAAAGCCATTGCTCATGTCAATCCAGAATAATGCCACACATGTCATTGTTAAAACAAATGCAAGAACAATGACCTGGTAAGGAGAAACCAGATATTATATTAGAAATATGTTCCATTTTTCACAAGCCTGGAGTGGAATTTACATGGCAATGAATTATACCAGCTAAAAAAAAACTTTTGTACCAAAATTACAACTCTTTGACGACTTCCAACACGGATCGAGCGAAATGGTAAACATGCTCTCTGAGATTCTCCGTGCATTGAGCCTGAGTGCTCTGGTGGCATTTCCAACAAAGGTTCATAGAAACTGAAGTCTTCCTCCTCATAATCCTCATCATCAGCCTGATGACAAAGGTCCACCCTAAAATATCACCAATGAGAAATATTAGAATGCTCTGACAAGAGAATTGCCAATCTAAAGATGCACAGAACCTGGTTCGACAACGTCACATCATAGATATTCGAGATAAGCATAATCATTACAATAAAGAAGTTCATATCAATCCCAGTTCCCAAACATCCCACAAAACTCCTACAATCATCAAGGTGGCTATTCGCTAAAACGACATGAATTTGGAAATGCTGAAACAGAACCAAGAAAATGGTATTAGACTCAACCACAATTCACCTGCATCAAAAATTTTGTCATGTCATCCTAGACCCAGCTAAGCATTAAACGATTTGGGCACTTGTATTATCGTGATATCGTCGAGAAAATTAGAATCCAAATCTGTCAGGCTGAACTTGCAAGGTTTTCAAAAATATGACTCGCATCTGTCAAGTCCAGAAGGGAAAAGGAGAATCTACATTTTCCATTTTTCAGCCATTCAACTACAGATAATAAGTGTCACTAAGACAATAGGAATAAGTATAACATACCAGAAGGACAAAAGCAGAAGAAATGCCGCAAAAAACAAAATCTTGGAGAAGGCTGCGAACCAAATAAAACACAGAATATCATTCCTTATAACATACTATGACCCTAATCCCACAATGCTCATTGTATTGAGGCAGAAAAAAACTAAGGAAAAAAAAAAATACCCATGAGGATAAAACCACAGGCGTATGACCAGCATAGCCATTTGTTATGGTAGGCTATGGGACTTGTTGCGAAATAAAGAAAGTATCCTGGCAAAAATAGAGAGAAGGTATCCAGTTTAATGCAACTTGAGGTGAATAGCACAACATGCACATGAGTATCCTCAATGATATTAGGGACTTGCCATACACATCACTGAAGAAATTTTTAACGGAATTTTAATTGACAACTTACCAAGATTAGAAGAACCAACCAGTACATGAAACACCTGTAATTGCCCAAAAGTTTTACCACGTAAATGTCAGTGTAATTAATTGCAGCAGAAATAACATAAATGAAATAACAAATAAGTCATGATCGTTTGAGTTGCGCACATAATTATGCAGACTTATGGGCAATGGACATGATTGCAGCATTAATCGGAATGGAAAATGAAAAAAAAAAGTTAGCATGAGAAAAGAAGCCACAATTCAAAACTGAGTTTCAATATAATAGGTATCACGTAGAAGCCATTTTACGTCATGTAGTTCTGAGTTTCCTTATGAATACATAAAACCATGCAGGAAATCAATGGAGAGGATGCCCAGTTCAAGGATATCAAAAGCAAACTGAAAATTGGATATGCGTTTGAATTACACATATGGTCGGTAGCTCACGTAAGACCGATCAGAAGAAGAAAAGTTATGTACTTATGTTGACAGCTAAGTCAGATAATTCATCAGACTTCTCGCATCCAAATATTCATCTCCTCTTACACTTAAAATTTTAAACAAGTTGACTCCAATTCAGCCAACTTTTCCAACAAAGTATTTTACTCAACCCTCAGCTAAGTGAAACATAAAGGTACCCAAGTTATCATATAGGATGGCAAAAGAATACAGGAGTTACCTTTTGCCGGGTCCATCCAAGTCGTACATTCCTTGAGTGAATTCTTATCAGCTGGAGAGAAAAAAAACGAGCATCCATTAACAGTCGAACAAAGCCATTCCATAACAAATTCCATGAGACTGTATCCTGGTGCTCCTCTCATAGAACAGAATGTGAACAGATTAGCCGCACGGTTCAACACATTGATCATCAATTGGACACTCCTGAACCAAACAAGATAACAGAAAGGCTAGGCCCTAAGGACCCGTGCAACTGAATTCCCATAATGTAAGTAATATCCGGCCATATAGATAGCAGCTGTTGCATCAAGATGACCTCAGGATTCTCCGGAATCATCATGATAACAATTATGTTCCTAGCAGCAACTAAAAACAGATTCTGGGCCATTTAAGACAACGACATTTCAAACCCATGGAGACAACAGGCTAGACTCCTGCATGTATGCCAATTCTACGCATCAATACCCCGACATTCGCATCAAAAAGCACAACCCATAAAACTCCTACGAATTCAGAATATTCCAACTTGGGCACAGAGTTTTGAAGTACATTTCTTAGCCAATTGTCAAGCATAACCTCGACTCTTAACAACTGATAGACTTGGAGGCAGCAAACAAACACAACCATTTGGAAAAGACAAATAGAGGAGCGGGGTCAAGAAACAAAACCTGATAGAATGCAAGGAAGGCGAGAATGCAGTCGACAGAAGCAAGACCCACATTGACAGCCAACACTCCAGGATGGAAGCAACAGAAAGAAGACCTTTCTGTGGCCGCTCCAAACATCTCCGCCCTCTCTCTATATCTCTATCTCTACTCTTAGGGAACAAAAACAAAAAATGAGAAAACCCTTTCAACTATCCCTGGCAAAGAGGAGAGGACTTACAGAAGGGGAGGAGAAAAAGGGAGGGAACGAACGAGAGAAATGGGAATCAATCTACAGAAAGGCGGAGGAGCAATTGGGTTGTGCTGTGTATTGGTTTTACCAGTATACGGACAGCAGAAGGTGGGATCTTCTCAGAGGTATCTTTTCATGGAAGATCTGCTCTCCCTCTTAACACTCTGATTTTACGCTTTTCTCTGGGGATTTTCTTCCCTTTTCTCGCCTGATTCTAATAGAGAGAGAGAGTTTCACTACTCGGCTCTCGTTCTCGCTGTGCCCTTCCACCCTTTACAATTTTCCGTGAAGATTTATTATGCGATGACCAAGACCGAGAGAGACCAATAGATTTCCCTTTCTCAAAAAGTTGAAGAAAATCCGATTTGAATATACTTGGAGGTTTATTTTTCGCCTAGCAATCGGGCTAAGATCAGGTGATTAAGGGGTCCCATAGTTATGTGATTAAGTGAATCTCAGCCCTTTTACCTCATTAAAATCCAATGGTCCTGATTAATCCAATGTAATGAAGGGCAATGTAGTAGTTTAATTTTTATTTACCAATTAAAATAAATAAAAATTCAACCCCGATCCTTTCCCTTCTTCGCGCGGCCTGCGTTTTTTTCCCCAGAGACTTCCGAACCTTCCCGCCGGCCGATCCTTCACTCCTGTGGCGTGTAATTCGCCGGCGGCCCATTTTTCCCGGGACGGCGCCATAATTTCCCACGGCGCCATAATTCCCCTTCCTTTGAGAATATATCCAGAGAGAGAGAGAGAGATTCTGGTCGGAAAATTTTCTGACCGGAATTTTTTTTTCCAGCGACCATCGTGGACGGAGAAGAATTTTCCGGCGACAGTGCCAATTTTGTGATGTTTATTGACATATTTTGTAATGTTTGTACGCTTTGTTATTTTGTAATGTTCGTAAACTTTGTTATTTTTGTGCACCATGTTTGTCATTTTTGTCCACCATGTTCGTACTGTTTGTATGTCTAAAAAACACCCGGGTTGACTTTGGGAAGGAGCCCCTCTATATAGAGATGGAGCCTCCAAAGTCAACCCGGGAGTTTTTTCCCGTTCGTATGGATTGTCGGTCTAGTTTGTCATTTTTGTCCACCATGTTCGTACTGTTTGTATGTCTAAAAAAACACCCGAGTTGACTTTGGGAAGGAGCCCCTCTATATAGGAATGGAGCCTCAAAAGTCAACCCGGTTGTTTTTTCTTTTTGTTGTATTGTTTGTCGGTCTAGTTTGTATTGTTTGTACAGTTCATACGTTTGTAATGTTTGTAAATCTGTTTGTATGTTTTGTCGCTCTAGTTTGTACTGTTCGTATGTTTGTATGGTTTGTACTGATTGTAAATCCGGTTTGTATACTTCATAATTTTTCATAATACCCAAACTACCCCTGTCCTTAATTAAATAGCCCTTCCCACTTTTTAACCATTGGATTGAAGTGTCCAGATCTAATGGCTAGTAGGGGCTTAGTCAAGTGACTAAGCACCCCCCCTTAGTCACCAGATCCGCACTCCTAGCAATCTGCGTAATATTACGGGCAAAATTTTGGAGGGTATTTCCGTAATTGGGCAATTTTTCAGATGGGCATTTTCCTTGCGATTTTGAACGCCGTTGATCATAGATTCGGCATTAGGTTATTTTTTATTGATCATTAAGTCTATTAAACATCAATTTGGACAAATTATTGTGGGACTATTTTTTACAGATTTCTAAGGCATTAAAAATTTTGGGTGATTTTTTTTGAAATGTTATTTTTCTTGGATTTTTAAGGTTGCATATCACAGATGAATTCTGCCTGAGGCTATTCTTTACCGATGATTAAATCTACTAAGTACCGATTTGGACTGATTTTTTCTGGGGGCATTTTCGTAATTTTATGGAAGATTTTTTTAGAGACCATTTAACTTGCGATTTTGAAGACTACATATCACGGATTCGGTCTTAGACAATTCTTCACCGATGATTAAATCTATTAACCACCGATTTGTGTAAATTTTTTTCGTGACCATTTTAGGCAGATTTCAAAGGGGTCCCATCACACAGGTTTCAGGCGATTTTTCGAAATGTCATTTTCCTTGGTTTTGAAGGATACAGATCACAGATTCAGCCTGAGTCTATTCTCCACCAATGATAAAGTACATTAATTCTCCGATTTGGGCGGAATTTTCCGTATGACATTTTCTTAATTTTCGAGCAATTTTTTGGAAGGTCATTTTCCTTACGATTTTGAAGGATGCAAATCACAGATTCAGCCTTAGGCTATTCTTCACTGATAATTAAGTATAGTAAGTATCGGTTTGAGTGAATTTTTTTTGGCGCCATTTTAGGCAGCTTTCAAAGGGGTACCATCACTGATTTCGGGTGATTTTTTCGGAAGGTCGTTTTCTTTTGACTTAGAAGGCTACAGATCACGGATTCGGTCTCATGCTATTCTCCACAAATGATAAAGTCTATTAATCGCCGATTATGGGCAGATTTTTTTCGGAGGCATTTTCGTAATTTTATCGGCGATTTTTTAGAGCCATTTTACGTGCCATTTTGAAGGCTACATATCACAAATTCACTAATGATTAAGTCTAATAAGCACCGATTTGGGCGGATTTTTCCGGGGCCATTTTTGATAGATTCCAAAGGGGTATAATCTTAGATTTCGATAGATTTTTTTTTTAAAGGTCATTTTCCTTGAATTTTGAAGGCTACAGATCACGAATTCGACTTGAGGCTATTCTCCATAAATGATAAAATCTAGGGCTAATACCACTACAACACCCGAACTATGACAAAAATGCCACTTGTGTCCTATTCTTTCAAATATTCCATTTATGTCCTGAACTATTTTTTCCGTTAGAGTTGACCGGCGTTGACCGTTAATTTTAACAGAAATTATAGTTAGCGCTGACGTGGCAGATGACATGGAATTTTAAATTAATAACATTTTAAAATAAAAAAGAAGCAAAATTTTGGGCCACTTCCGACCTCACCCTCCTCCCACATTCTCTCTCCCTCCCTGCTCACCTCCGCCTCTCCGCGACTCCGCCTCCCAACTCGCCGACTCTGCGAAGTCGCCACCATCTCCCAGTACTCCGCTCTCCTCGCAACAAGTTGCTCCAATCACCCCTCTCATTCGACAAAAACCCCTGCCTCATTCGTCCAAAAAACCCCTGCCTCCACCACTGCTCTGAATCGAAACTTCCATGGTCGATTTCAGAGGAGCCCTAAATCGACCAGCCATGGCCCTAGCTTCCCCCATCCAAATCCGTCTCTCTTTCGCCCTTCACCCATCGATTGATAACTTGATCTTGCCCCGATGTTGGGTCGGCGGGCTAGGGCAATTTGGAGGGTCAGGTCGGCGGGATCGAGCAATTTGGAGAGGAATCAAATCTAGCAGGGGAAGATTGCATCGTCGGTGTCTCATGGCATCGCCGACCGTTGTTTGCGATCTCTAGTCGTCGTTTGCGTCCCTATCCATCATCCTCCCTCTCTCCTCTCCCATCTTTCGGCCGCCGAAGTTGTTCCACTGGCTGTATGAGAATCAGAGCTTCGTCGTCTTCCAGATGGAGGGGTTGCTGGAAGAGCAGCTTGTCGTGGGGGAAGGCGGCAGAGAGATATCGTTGCCATAGATGCTGATTTGCGGAACGGATTTGAAGGCGGCGACAGCGATGGTTAGAATTGAGGGCGGGGTAGGGTGGGGAGCGGGTTGAAGGCGACGGTGGGTAGAAGGTTATTTTATTTTTTTATTTTTAATTATTTTGCAATTTAATTTGATTTTGAATTAAATAATATATGTGGTATGATGTGGCATCTACGTGGATGCCACGTTTCCTTCCATGTCAACAAAAGTCAACATCTCTTTGACCACCGTCAGGTCAACCGTTAGAGATAACGGTCAACGAAATCGCCAGGATACAAATGGCACAAAGTATCATAGTTCATGATAGAAATGGAATATTGAAAAGCATAGGACATAAGTGGCATTTCTTAGATAGTTCGGGTGTTGTAGTGGTATTAGCCCTAAAATCTATTAATCGGCGATTTGGGCTGATTTTTCTGGAGGTCATTTTCGTGATTCTTGAGCGATTTTTCGAAAAGTCATTTTCTTTGGATGTTGAATGCAATAGATCACGGATTTGGCCTTAGGCTATTCTTCACCGATGATTAAGTGTATTAAGCATCAATTCGAGCGGATTTTTTTTCAGGGTTATTTTCCCGAGGTCATTTTTCCATGCTTTGTCGATGTGGGATTCCCCTAAGAGGTATCACACAATTTTCGGGTGATTTTTTTTTTCAAAATACCATTTTCCTTGGATATTGAAGGCTATTGATCACGGATTCGGCTTAAGTCTATTCTTCACCGATGATTAAGTTTACTAAGCAGCGATTTCGACTTATTTTTGTCGGGGCCATTTTTGACAGATTACAAAGGGGGTGGTACCAAGAATGCGCTAAGGTGAATACTAGTTGTTTAGTAACCATTGTGGCAACCTACATCTAAACCCTTAATTAGCTCTATTTTCCCTTTTTTTAAATAACAGTCAAGATTGTATTAAGGTAATTTCGGAATAAAAATATTAGCACACCAGATTATTACTTATATTTATAATTTACTAGATCCTTCTTCTACCCAAACCCTAAAACCATCTATCTCACTCTCTTCCCAGCGAGAAACTGCATCGCGTCGCGACTCTCCCTCTCCTCCCCTCACCCCTCCGGCGGCCCTCCCATGCCCCCGCTCGCCACTCTCCCTTCCCCACTCCACCCCCTCCCTCGCTTCTCACTTTCCTCGCCCCATCCACTGCCTTCCCCTCCCCACGTACTCCATCGCCGCTCCTCCCTTCTTCCTTCCCCACCCTACCCAGCGTCACCTCTCCCCCTCCCCACCACAACCAGCATGCCTTTCTCTCTCTCCTCTCTCTCTCTCACTAGAGAACAAGATGCATGTTTCTTTAATTGGTACGTTGTATTGATTTTTTTCGTAGTGGTAGTGTTTTTTTGCATTGGCATTGTTTTTCCGTATCGGTATTGATTATCATGTAAGCGTTTTTTGTTTTTTTTTTTTTTGTGAAATGATAGTGTTCTTTTCCTGTACTAGTAGAGTTTTTCGCATTAGTATTGATTATCATGTAATGGTATTGATTTGCATGTATTGGTATTGATTAAATCTGCAATGGTGGTGTTTTGTGAAATGGTAGTGTTTTTATTTCTCGGATAGTATTGGTGTTTTGAGCATTGGTAGTGTTTTTTTAATGGATTGGTATTGTTTTATTGTTGCAGCGGTATTAGTTCGAATGAACAAAAATAAGGAAAAGATTAAGAAAAAGAAGGAAGAAAGATCTGGCTGGAGAT